TAGCATAAAATTTAGCATTGAAAAGGCTGAATGATTAGCTTGTGACTGGTCACAGAAATAGCTATGTTAAAAGTTAAAGCATACACATCCGCAGAGGCACCCATTGTTAAAAGGAATTAGCATAGAATTTAGCATTGAAATAGCTAAATTAAGGCATTCGCTTGTAACTGCTACAGAAATAGTTACGTTGAAGTCAGAGCATACACATTCACCGAGGCACTTAGTACAAATCAAAACAGGAGAATTTAGCATTGAAATAACTAGGCGAATTTAGCATTGAAATAACTGGGTGATTTGCTGGTGACTGGTCACAGAAATGACTACACATCTGAGCTATTCACAGTACTATATAGTGAACCAATAAAAACTAAAATATAAATTACCTTCATGTTATCAATAAACTCTATATTCTCCAATCAGCTAAGCTACCAACCATAAGTCGTTATATATCACAATGCTATATGGAGAAAAAATGGGTGGATTCTTACCCTCAAATTTCCGTACCACGGATAGCTACGGGCCCCGTTCAGACGGACGAGTTCGTCCATGGTCGGAACAGAGGAGGGGGAGAGAGACAGCTGCGAAGCCCTAGTATACTCCATGTTGTAAACCATACCATTAACCGTGGTGTGAGAGGTATTAAGAGGCAATGCTGGCGAAAGAGCTGCGGTCTGAAGGTCATCGTAAAATTACAATTAATTAAGAACAGAAATGATTTAACACATCTTTCCAGTGGTTACTAAGCCTGAATCCATCTTCTCGGTTGAAATTGTCTCTGTGCTTGTATATGTGAATGGCCTCATGAACGAATCTCTCATGGTAGCCAGTTGGTTTGCAAAGAACCTCCGTCTTGGAGAAGTCAATGTCATGTGAGCCCACTGAATTGTAACAGTGATCTGCCACGGCAGAGGAGTTCGTCTTACCGTGTTTCAAGTCTGCTTTATGTTCGCGGATGCGGTCCGAGATATGTCTTTTGGTTTCTCCAATGTAGCTACTACCACAGAGGCACTTTAGTTTGTAAATGCCCGGGTACTGTATGTCTGGAAGAGCATCTTTTACAGATGGAACTAAATCACGGATTTTGTGTACTGTGTTGAATCGGACCTGGATCTTGTGTTTATTCAGGATTTTGGAGATCTTTTTAGTGACCCCTGCAATGTAGGGTAAGGTGATGGTTTTGAGTGGCTCCACAAGAGGATCCTTCTTCATGACTGGAGTGATGGCTTTGCGGATTGTGTAGTCGGAGTAGCCATTAGCCCTGAGAGCCTGGTGCACGTGCTTGAGTTCACTGGTAATGTGTTCCTGGTCGGAAATGCATTGGGCTCTATGGTATAGAGTCTTGATGAGGCAGTTCTTCTGGGATGGATGGTGGTGGGAATCCGGTTTCAAGTAAGCATCTGTATGGATAGCTTTCCTGTAGACAGAGTGGCTCATTGAACCATCATGTCTCCTTTTAATTAAGACATCCAGAAAGGGTAGTTTGCCATCTTTTTCGACCTCCATGGTAAATCTGATGGCTGGGTGTATGGAATTGATGTGGTCGCGGAATTGGTCTAGAGCAGGCTGGCCATGTGGCCAGATGACAAAGGTGTCATCAACGTACCTCTTCCATAAGGTCGGGCGTAGAGTGGCAGTCTGGATGGCGTCAGTTTCAAATTTTTCCATGAATACGTTGGCTACAACCGGAGATAGGGGGGAGCCCATTGGGGTGCCCTCAGTTTGTTTGTAGAAAGTTCCATTCCAGGTGAAGTATGTGTTGGTTAAGCAATGTCTCACCAGGGGGGGTACATCAGTATGCAGTCCTTGATGAACCAGGTCTTCAATGATAGCGATGGTGTCAGGTACCGGGACTTTGGTGAACAAGGACACCACATCAAAACTGACAAGCAGGTCGTTTGGGGACAGGGAAATGTCTTTGATTGTCGATACCAGGTGAGTAGAATTTAGTACCGCAGAGGTGGTTTTTCCAGTGAAAGGTCGCAGTATATCAGCCAGAAAACGTGCCAGTTTGTAGGTGGGGGAGCTGATAGTAGAGACGATGGGACGAAGGGGTGTATCTTCTTTGTGTATCTTTGGAAGGCCATATAATCTTGGTGGTCTGGCAGCAGAGGGTTTCAACAAGAACTGTTTGTTCTCATCAATTAATGCTGTTGAATCAGATATAATTTTGTTCGTTTTGGTGACCAGGCTGTTGGTGGGATCTCTTTTTATTTTTGTATAGCTGCCATCGTTGAGTAGTTCTTGAATTTTGTTGTTATATTCTGTTTTGTCCATGATGACAGTGGCATTGCCTTTGTCGGCTGAGAGAACGACAATATCATCCCTCTTTTTTAATTGAGATAATTCAAAACGTTCGTCTTTGCTGATGTTGCTAGGTGGCAACTTAGCGTTTTTGAGGGTTGCAGCGATTTCAGATCTTGCTACGTCTGCAGAGATGTGACTCAAGCCCTTGAGTGCAACGTCGACATGGGCAATGATATCATTAACCGGTAAGTGTCTCGGTGTGACAGCAAAGTTTAGACCTTTAGCTAAAACGGATTTCAGACCATCAGAAATGGAACTGTTACTGCGATTAATTACGACTTTGTTGACGTCTATCTTTTCGGTGTGTGGATCCGATTTTTGCTGGAGAGGTGATTGAATTTGGAAATCAAATTGTCCCTACATTTGTTCGACATAGTGGCAGCCGAAGAGGTAGTCATATTGTCTACATGTTCCCAATCCGATGTAGACATTGTTGCTGTCAATTTTAAGTGTGATTTGTAGAGTGTCTTGTCTAACTGATCGAGTTCGGTGCGTGTAAGTCTGATTTTTTCCGAGATAAGAGCGAAGCTAGTTCTAGCTAGAATTCGTTTTGCATTGAGAGAAGTTGCAACAGCAGAGGTTAGTGTAAATGCGGTTGGTATTACCTTAGAGTCGCGGCATCTCTTCAGAAAGGTGAGAGACTCGATTAGTTGAGCCTTCTTATCCCGAAGTCTGTTGAATGATCTTAAGGATGTGTGGAATCCCTCCCCGTAGAGGCGGTTAAATTTCGATTTAAAGCTTTCGTGACTGCAATGATTCATCTTCTTTGGTTCTTTCGGTAAAGTCACGTAGAATGAGAATAAAATAATAAATTGATAAAATAAAATAACACAATAATATTCTCACGACGTTTCGGCCACAACACAAGCGGCCTTCATCAGGTGAAGGGAGCGAGACTGTCTGGTAGGACAGCGCTGGAGTGAGAGAGCCACGTTCAGATCACGGCTTTTAAGCTGTGTGAGAGGAACAAAGAGCCTTGACGAAGGAATTAGCATAAAATTTAGCATTGAAAAGGCTGAATGATTAGCTTGTGACTGGTCACAGAAATAGCTATGTTAAAAGTTAAAGCATACACATCCGCAGAGGCACCCATTGTTAAAAGGAATTAGCATAGAATTTAGCATTGAAATAGCTAAATTAAGGCATTCGCTTGTAACTGCTACAGAAATAGTTACGTTGAAGTCAGAGCATCTCACGGTGTCAGCTATTAAAAATAGTAAAATAATATTTTAATGTTATAATTACTCATAATTAAGTTATCGTGCGTTTTGGATTTCATGCCATGTCCCCATCGGTCGAGGATTTCCTCAAAACGAGTGGATGGATCGCCGCGACTTTATCCTACTCTATTGTTGATATGATGATAGCCACAGGTGCGCCTTAGTCGGGGCTTGGTCCATGGTAGACCGGAGGTATTTTTATTTATTTATACATTTATTTGAATTATTGTTCTTAACATGTGTACTTATATTTATGTACAAACACGGAGACAATTTCAACCGAGAAGATGGATTCTAGCTTAGCAATCATTGGAAGGATTTGATAAACCATCTCGGGTCTTGATTGATTGTTCACGCTTACGGTGGCTTTCAGTCCACATCCATTACTTTTCGTCTTCCCCCTCCTCTTTTCGGAACATAGATGGACTCGTCCATATGAATAACTGCCAAATCGCTCTCCGTGGTGCTAACGTTAACAAAAACCCGCCAGTTTTTTTTCAAATTTTCTTGCTGTGGTTTTCACACCTGATGATGATTGCTTGTGTTGCAGTCGAAAAGTCGTGAGAATTTTATTGTTTTATATTTTTATTATTTTATTGTCTCCTTTCTACATGGCGGTGACTTTACCGAAAGAACCAAGAATCTGAATCCCTGCAGTCACGAGAGCTTTAAATCAAAATTTATGTGTGTGTGCTTGTTTATGTGTTGATTCGGGGGCTCCCTTGTGGCCGACTTAGACGAGCAATGCGTGGCAGAACGTTGCCACACAGCCACCCACGGCCACACACCCTGACACACCATACCCATAACAACACCCACCCATCCCCTTCCACGTCCACTGACACCCACGCCCACCCCTCCCCCCAACATCCACCCCCATCCCCAAACACCCATCCACACACGTCCATAGTTGCGCCCTCTACTGGTGCGACTCCGTCTCTCCACGCTGCTCACTGCGAGTCGGTGAAATGCGAGGCGCCAGGCAGGCACCTTATCAGGAGCTGTCAACCATCCTCGCAGCAACGGAGACGTCTTTTGGCTTAGCCATCGCACAAAGACGGTCACCACATCGCCCTGATGAGGCGTGTTGTGGTTGTTGTTGTTGTTAAGGGTGAAACGTCACGGTTACTCGAATTGTGAATGTTGTTGTGGGTTTACTCTCCAACACTCAACCTGTTAGTGCTGAACCAATGACTAATTGCCAAAGTTTGTGCTACGTGACACAAACCTTACAATATTTACGTGATCTCACCCAAAAAACCTCTCATGCGATGTGTGTGCGTCTGCGGCCGTCTGGAACGCTCTTCCAAAATTCGGAAGCCACTGGAGCCATGCACTTTTAAATCATCATCTCGATTTTTTTTATATATATAGAACTGCTTGTCGTGTTCATTTTGTTGTCCTTCCCCCGTACGGTGCGAAAGAAGTTCAACACACATACGTGTACATGCGTATCGCTCAGCGGCAATGTTGGCTTCAGCCGTGGCTGCCAATCAAAAGTCTCTGGCCGGCCTGGTTTGCAGCGCAGTTTCTCTATCCACTGCGCCACCGATCCACTCTGCCGCAGTTTCTAATCATCGCCGCGTGCAGAACCCCTGGGATTTCCTGTTGCACAGTCTACACTGAACGTCGTTTAATACCCGAGCCTCGGTCAGGTGCGGGTCGACTACAACGCATCGCCATGGGTTTGGTCGGCTGGCAGGCGCAGGGTTACCTCTTGGAATGCCATCTCAGTACGATTACACAGCGGAGAGTTTGAACGCGACCACCGCATCTCAAGACGCCGTACAGAAGTAATGGGGTGCGTGTTTATATTTAATCATTTGAGGGAGGCAATCTTAGGGCTCTACACGAGTCCACTGCGAATCCGTGAATCTACAGTTAAATGTAAGCCTGTGGGGCTTGCATGTGCGTGTGTGGGTGGCTACGTGCATGTGTGGGGAGCGGTAGTGTAGCGGTTAGCGCTACGCTGCGCTACAAACCTGACCACCCGGGTTCGATTCCCGCTCACGGCCAACACCAGTGAGGCAGTGACGATTGTCTGAACCGGTCCTGGGCCTCCCCTAGGTCGACTCAGTCTCAAATGAGTAGCTGCTGCGATGTGTAAACATCGCCAATAGGGAGACAAAGGCAGCCGGGCGTGGTTCTGGCGGCCCACCCCTCGTATGCCGTGCCGGCCTTCATAGGTGCTCGCTAACATCACTTGCCTCTACAGTCTGTTAAGGCTACGTGGGGGATCCTTGTATTTTTCTTTTGGGTAAGTACATATGCATGTCCATGGCTCGGTATGAAATTATTTGAGTTTCTATGCGAGTCTACAGGTGTATGCGTGCATCAATAGATGTGTATGTACGATTTTGAGTCTATGTGAGTCTTTGCGTTTGTGTGCGTCTCCTCTGAGTGTTGTGGGCTTCTATGCTCGTTGGGTGGTTGACATGTAAATTACGCGAGTGCGTGGGTCTCTATGCAATGTAAAACATGACACGTACCTCTCGTTTTATTGTGGGAGTTGTGTTCTTGATAAACTGCGCGGTACTCGGAAATCATGTAAATGGTTGGTATTCTTGGTTCTTTCGGTAAAGTCACGTAGAAGGGAAACAATAACATAATAAAAATATAAAAATGTGTTTATTATTCTATTGTTTCCCTTCTACGTGACTTTACCGAAAGAACCAGGAATATGAATCCCTGCATTCACGAAAGCTTTAAAAACAAAATTTAAATGGTTGGTGTTAGGGAGAGCACGCTACTGAGCCTCATTCCCTTACGTCTGCATATTTCACCGGTTACAGTGACATATTCACAATACCACCACACACGTTGTAAATATAGTAACAGCCTATTTAAAGAAAACAAAAATACGTGTAACATGTAAGTGAGATGCTCGAGCGATGGAGCCCCCCCCCTTGTCCTGGGGCTGGTGGAGGGGAAGAGTAGAGTTTGGTGGAGTTAGTGGGGAGAGAGGGGGGTGGGGATCATCTTCATTGAGACGCCGCATCCTTGGATGGAGCTGGACATATTTTAACCTTGTGGCCGGACCCCGGGGTCCCGAATAAACGAAAGTCTGAATCGTAATTGATTTGTTTCATCCTCTCCTCGTTCTTCGCCAAGCACCCGTCGTTGCCAACATTTCCGTAGTCACAAACAAAACTTTGAAACTTTGATTAGCGCATTGTGTAGAGCTCGTCGTGAGGAACAGCTTGCCGTATCATTCGCCTTCACCAGACATAAAATTACGTCGCAACGCAGTTTTACGTGAGAGCCGGGGGCTTTCGCAACCCCAAGGGTCCCGCCAGGAGGTTCATTTATTGGATGCACGGGTAGGCGAATCCGTGCACAAAACAAAGTTCACAAGAGCTTCAAAATGGGGCACGAGATGCTGTCCCGTGGCTTGTGGTTTTTCTCTCGCTGCTGCACCCTCAGGCACCATCGGTTCATGAAACTTTGCCGCCCTGAACTAACGATTCAGCTCGCCGTGCGTTACGCGACAACCGTGGCCCAATGCACTGGGGCGCGTTATTCCACCGACAGTTTGCAAGCGCAGAACTCTAATAAGTGTACATTATAATGGAACGCAACGCTTGAAAGTCGCAAAACGCGAGGCGACTGCATTTCGAATTCCTCTTGTTTCATGACACCACTCTCGTCATAGCAGCCCCCCGCCCATAGCACGTGGTCTCTGTCTCCATAACGAGCAATATTCACGTGTGCCAACATCAATCTAGATTTGTAACAGACAACGGGACGAGAAGGCGCAGCTAATCGAGTCGCTAACTTTACCCACTTCCGCAATTGTGTCTTGCTGTGGTTGTTCAACCTGATGACGGACGCTTGTGTCGCACCTGAAACGTCGTGATTTAATGTATTTTATTTTATACCTACGTGACTTTACCGAAAGAACCAAAGAATGTGTCTTCTTTGGTTCTTTCGGTAAAGTCACCACGTAGAATGATAATAAAATAATAAATTGATAAAATAAAATAACACAATAATATTCTAACACGACGTTTCGGCCACAACACAAGCGGCCTTCATCAGGTGAAGGGGGCGAGACTGTCTGGTAGGACAGCGCTGGAGTGAAAGAGCCACGTTCAGATACGGCCTTTAAGCTGTGTGAGAGGAACAAAGCGCCTTGACAAAGGAATTAGCATATAATGTCAACGTCATCCACACCTAGGCTCTCTCTCCTCGAAACTTTTCCCTCCACACGTGCAGATCTGCTGATGGTGTATAACGATGATAACAGTTCTATCCTGCAGTGGGCAGATCGTGGCTGTCGATGATTGATGATGACGCCTTCTTGTCTCACCCTCCATAGCGACGGTGATGGCGGGTTCGTCTAACGACGAGAACGACGTCGAAGACATCAACATTACCAGGAACCGCGGAGTTGTGGTTAAATAACAAATAACACGAAGTTCACGTTGGGAGATGCGAGGTGAGCACCAAGAGCAGCTAAAAGTGTAGCCGGACCGCCCTGTCCCTCTCCCCCCCCCCCCCCCCCGTCGTGAATCCTAACAAGGGGGACAGGTCGGCTACATAGCAATAAAAATAATAAAGTTCGGACACAATGACGAGTAGATACTCCGCATTGCATTATGTCCTCTGGAGAAGTGGGCGACTCCACAGCTGAGCACCGGAGATTTGTGGAACGGAATTTTTTTTTATTTAAAAGTATTTTTATTCAGGGCTTTTGTGCATCTGCAATAGTGACCAGACACAGCCTCCACGTCACAACACCGCAGCTCAATCCCTCAGCATGGACAAATCTCAATTACGATAACAGCACCTTATATCGACTGACATTTAACATACAAACATCCGCCCAAAAACATCTGTAATGCCCCCTAAATTTCCTACTTCCTGATCATACTTTAAACGAAACAATACGTGCCTACATAATGAATAATAAGTAATAATACATAAATTTCGATTTAAAGCTTTCGTGACTGCAATGATTCATCTTCTTTGGTTCTTTCGGTAAAGTCACGTAGAATGAGAATAAAATGATAAATTGATAAAATAAAATAACACAATAATATTCTCACGACGTTTCGGCCACAACACAAGCGGCCTTCATCAGGTGAAGGGACGAGACCAAAGAAGATAATAATACATAGTTTTTTTACATCAAATTATATTAACAATCTGTAAATCCGAGACGTATTTTACTGACAACATATAAAACAATAATAATTTGTTTTTATATAATATAACCTCATGAGTGCAATGTTAAAACCAAGCGCTAAGTGTGCCTTCCCAATGAACATCACAACGCAACACGACGACACCAGAAGTTATCAACTATTACAAAAACAACCTCTATTTGGATCACCAAAACACTCTAATCATCTCCCAACTCCATTTGAGCTACTTAGTCAAGTTGGATTGATCAAAATAAACAAGTTGTTAATACTCGTAACAATAATTAACTCCCCACGAGGACGGTGCCATCTTATTATAAGATTCCCCACGAAAAAACGGCAAACAATATAATAGAACTAAAAAATAAGTGAACATCTCGTACCTGCAAGTAACCAGACACAGCCTCCACTTCACAACACAGCAGCTCAGTCTCTCTCTCTCTCAATGGGATTGAGCACCAGTGTTAATATTCTAGAGCAGTGGTTCTTAACCTTGTTGGAGGTACCGAACCCCACCAGTTTCATATGCGCATTCACCGAACCCCTCTTTAGTGAAAAATAAAATGTGATTTTTTTCAAATTCAAGACATAGATATGTTTTTTACTGGTACACAAAATGAGCCGTGCATGAACATTACCTTGTTCAAAGAATAAAACCAACACAATGCATAAACTCACAACAAATTACATACCTGGAAATCAATGTGACTTCTGCTGTTGCCTTTGAGAGATCAGTTCAGATATGCGTGGCTTCACCTTGGCAAGTGCCACTCTCATGTCATTTTCACAGCAAAGTCTGTTCCTTTTCTTCGTTTTTATGTCCAGCATCCTCGAAAAGGATTGCTCACAAAGATATGTTGTAACAAATGGTATAAAAAAAATCCAGGGCTTTCTTAGCAATAACTGGATACTTGTTCATTTGTCGACACCAAAACGTTGAGAGCGTTGTTGTTCTGAAGAGTTGCTGTTGAACCTGGCTCTGCTGAATTTCAATGATTTCGTCGAGGAATTCATCATTGACATCTGCTGTTTCAACAGCAAACGTGAACGGCTGTCTCACCCATGCTGGATATGACTCTCTTGTAGGGAAATATCCGTCGAGAGACTTTGCAAGCTCATCTAAGTGCGTGGCAATTGTTTGCTTCAGTTCCGTGGATACAGAAATATCTCCGATTCCAGACACATCTTCGATCTTACTTGCACAGTCGTCCAGAAGCGGGAAGTTTGCGAAGTTATTGTTCTCTGTTCGTCGTTTCCATAACGGTAGCTTTTTTTGAAAAGCCTTCAGGTGTTCTTCCGCTTCCATGATATTGACTCCACCACCCTGCATCTGCTGATTGAGATGATTGAGAGCTGCGAATATATCAGCCATGTACGCTAAAATGAGAATGAACTCAGGATTTTTGAAGCAATCTGCATGGTAGTGTTGGTGCTCTTGCAAAAACAGGGCTAATTCCACACGCATGGCAAAAACACGATTCAGCACCTGTCCCCGGGATAACCACCGAATATTAGAATGGAGCAGAAGTACCTCAAATTCAGAGCCCATTTCTTTACACAGCTCACTGAAGATGCGGTGCCTCAGAGCACTTTTTCGCACATCGTTCACACATTCCACCACAGTTTTTAATACTTCTGCCATTTTTGGAGGTAAGGTTTTTGTTGCCAACGCATGCCTGTGCAGAATACAATGCGTCACAATGATGTGTGGTGCATCGGCCTTTACTAGCGCACCAAAACCAGACTTTCTTCCCAGCATGACTGGAGCTCCGTCCGTACAAACTGCAGAAACCATATCCCATGAAAGATTGTTGTCTCTGAAGAAGTCATCCACAAGCTTCTTCACATCGGCTGCCTTCGTTGTTGTTGTAAGAGGCTTACAAAATAAAAACTCTTCTTTTATCATGTCGTCTTTCACATAGCGTACAAAAACAGCAAGCTGGCTTAGATCAGAAACGTCTGTGGTTTCGTCGAGTTGAAGGCTGAATTTTGCCGGGCTTGAAATCAGATCCGCGACTACTTGAGCCAAGATGTCTTTACTCATGTCTTCTATTCTGTCACTGACGGTGTCATTTGAAAGGGGAATTTGGGATAATTTACCTTCGGCCGCTGTTCCGAGTATCAGATTCGCCATCTTTAATGCAGCTGGTTTCACAAGTGTTTCACCAATGGTGTGTGGCTTGCCCTGCTTTGCGATCAGGTAAGCAACTTCGTACGATGCTGTCAGGATCGGTTTGTTAACAGGTACAAATCCAAGAGCAGGCAGAGTGGCCCTTTCATCGAATCTGGCTCTCTTCACCCTGAATTCAGCAAGTGTTGTGTTCTTGTATTCCCCGTCTCCATGCAGCTTCAAGAAGTGTTCCTTTAGTTTTGCCGGTGCAAGACTAGAGTTGCTCAACTTGGCGTTGCAAATCATGCAGATAGGACGCTCACTCCCATCACGTTCCGTGATACATGAGAATCCATGTTGTACATATTCGTCCGACCACTTTCTTCTTTTGCCCGACATAGTATGGATAAAATATTAAAGAAATCACACGACGTACGACAACAACAATCACACGTTGACTACTGAGTACGCACTAAATTCCCCGCAGCGCTGATTAGCCAAGCAGTGTAGCATGATCATCTGCAGCCAGTGATGGCCAAGCGGGCCGTGTGTGTCATCACAAATTTACACAATAATTCAAGTGTGTCCGGACCTCCGTGGCGGGGCTCTGCCGAACCCCTGAGATCGACTCACCGAACCCCTGGGGTTCGATCGAACCCAGGTTAAGAACCACTGTTCTAGACCCAATTATTATAAGTATTTCATATATTTAAATCAACTTTAATATCAAAGTATTAATTGTGCATATCTTCATTGCCACCAATAACGTAATCAGTAGTCAATTAACATGACCGAATTCCTATCAGTCGATTAACATTCAAATAATATCAATTTAACAGTTATATATTATTGGAGCTTGTGTAACATGCAGCTCACCAACACGGAATCGGCCGAAATTTAAATTGGAGCCGTGCCCCGTACACTACAGTGTACGTGGGGCTCGGGGTCCTATGCCGAGTAATCATTGCCTTTTCATAGAATACAACATTTCACTTGGCTCTCCATAGCAATTAGCAGTGCGCAATTATGCGTGTGATTAATCAAAGTTGAGCTCACACCAGCTACACATGCACATTTCACACACAGCCACACACTATGAAGGAGATCAGAGACACGGACATCGACAAATAAAATGCATATTCTTAGCTCTTTCGGTAAAGTCACGTTGAAGGGAAACAATAAAATAATATATAAATATAATATGTATAATCTATATAAATATATAAAAAATATAAGTATATATTTTATTGTTTCCCTTCAATGTGACTTTACCGAAAGAGCTAAGAATATGAATTACTACAGTCACGAAAGCTTTAAATCAAAAAATAAAATGCAGCTAAAAACGACAACTGCGGAAAGAGGCACACGTTTGGAATTCGACTGAGAGGCAGAGGGGAGAGCATGGGGAAATCGAGAACACACACAAGTTGAGAGACATCATGTTGACTGTTAAAACAATGGCTTAGGCAGGACATGGATGATGGCCGGTTGGAGAGACCAACCATGTAGTGGCAGTGAAACGGTAACACGCGAGCTTAAGGAGACATTCATGAAGCAATGGATGGCTGCTGCGAATGATTGGCTGAAAGAGGGTTTGGTGTGAAATTGAGTTGTTGTTGCTGTCCTAGGTACTACATGGAGAGTGGAACTCACAAAGCCTTCCCTAAAGCCCCCATAAAGCCTGGAGGGCAAGGCCTCTACGGCTTCCATAAGAAGATTGGGCTGAGCGGCTGTCATGGGACCATGGCTCTCCGCTTCAGCGGCCACGATCCCTGCCTGAAAATCTTCTTCAAAAACACACCGGGTCCCGGCTCCAAAACGTTATCCGTGTGCGTCGAGAATGACCCCGTGTACGACATCGGCCCGCGCACGCAAAATGAGATGATCAGGAACCAAAAAATCCCGAGCAGCACGTTCAGACAAGTGCCGGCGGGCAACGAGGTGTCGGTGACGAATGAGGAGCTCGCGGTGCGGACGAGGGCATCAATGAGCGAACAGAAGAAGGCGGTTATCTTGTTAACGGTGGAGTCGATGATGCCCAAGGTAAGATGAGGATGACGTTACATCCCCTTCATTGATTTAAGATACGGGGTGGGGGAGGGTAAGGGGGATTCCAATATTCGTCGAGGGCTTGGGACCGGAAAGTTGCGATTTATATTGAAATGAACCACAGAACCATTTTGTTCGGCTGAGCAATCCTCTACGACAATAGAAGTTTTTGTTTGGGTTAGATCGCGTAAGGGTTGTCACGTAAACAGCACATGCCAATTCGTCACTAACTAGCAATATGTTTGGAAAAACAAAACATCCACGTCAGATTTGGCATGGTACATAAAATACAGAAATTAATATCTGGTACAAAAGATGTAGTACTGAAGCTATCAACAGAAGGTGAGTACCGGATTAATTGCACTTGTCGCAAATGCTATTTTGGGCAAACATGACGAACGATCATCACGAGACTAAACGAACACCAAAGATATATTAAATACTCGCAAATACAACTGTCAGCAGGAGCAGAACACGCGTGCCAACGAGGACACTCAATTGATTTTGATTATATTGAAATTCTGTGCAAAACTAGTTACTACTGGCCAAGACTATTTAGAGAATCTATCGTAATTGAATTAAAGAAAAAATATTTGAACCGTTCAGATAGCTACCGACTTAGTGCTGTGTGGAAGCGAATAATAAAATAATACATTCGTTAAATGCAGGCCTATACAGGCCACCATACTTCAATAGGGATTACCATTGGTACGGATATTTTAGTACCCACAATGGGCAAGAAGGCTCGCATGATACGCGTGCATAATGTAAGAATAGTGCACAAGTGTAGTCACTACATCTATGCGTCTATATAAGGAACAAAACACGTGGACTTCTCTACAAATCAGGCTGTCACCTGATGAAGCTAGTTGTAACTATTGACGAAACGTCGTGCTCAGATTGTAGATGTTGTGGCTTGGCTCTCCAACACACAACCGGTGTGCTGTACTGGTGACGAATTGGCCACGTTCTGTTTACGTGACAATCCTTACTAGTTGGCTGTGTCGGATGGTAGTGGGTTTGACGACACATTTATATATTTATGCGATCTAACCCAACAAAAACTCTATTATGGATGATATTGGTCGCGAAAGCCTCCTGCGTGTTAATTCCTCTACGAGATGTGATGAGTCAGCCTCGCGCTGGGAGTGAGTGTTTGTGTGTGTGTGGGGGCATTTGAAACAGTCCATTGTCGTGTTCTAACTTACGAAGCAGTCCGACTTATGAACGGGTCCCAGGAACGAATTTTGTTCGCAAGTCCAGAACTGTCGCGTGCAAATAAACTGGCCGAAGCCCCAAGGGAGGAGTCACCGACGCTGGAAATGCGAGGCCGATCCGAGGAGGAGAAATGAGCAAAGCAGCCAGGGGATAGGCCAGCAGGGAATTCAAAAGGAAAATAGCAGGAAAGGGAGGACGGGAAAGAGAGACGGTTAGAGGTGGTGGAGGGAGAGAGGTGAAGAGGGGATTGGTGAGAGAGGTTAGAGTAGAACTAGGGGCTGCGGGATAATATAATCACTAACGCATACCATATTGTGTATATTTTTTAGTGCTTAACATTTGTTTACAAATAGACAACAATTAATATCCCTACTGTAAAAGATTACTGTAATTACCGTATCGTACTTACCACTCCAATCTCGAAGACTCTGCATGGGCTGATGTACGTAGTACTACTACGCTCTTGTTTCAACAACATGTGTTTGACGATCGCCGAATTTCACACACTTTTCGCCGGATCGCAGTGTATATTTTCGGTTTTTATTACTGTAGTTATTAGTCATGAAAAATGTATATACGTGCAGTATTTTCATTGTTTAAGTTTTTGTATTTAGGTGTATAGTATACCGTATGTCATATTTGACACTGAAATTAAGCATAGCTACTTTTTTTGTCATGCACATGGTGCCAATTGCTGGACTTATAAAGCCTTTGGAGCGGTTTTGCCGGATCAGTACAGGACCGCCGGATAATGTTGGAAGCCAAATAACTGCGCGCCGGATAATCGATGATCAACTGTATAGTTAATGTGATGGGGGGGGCCACGGGTCACATGGCTGGCGGGAATTTCCAGCAGGTGGGCAACCGCTAAATATGACAAAAATCCTACTCTTGGCATCTCCAGGGACTGGGCAACGCAAATGCCGATGGGGGCTTTGTCCTGATGCCGTAGATCCCTGTGCAATATGGGGGAGGGCCGATACAAGAAAGAATAAACTATCAAAACGTTTCATTTTACCAGGCAAGGCCCCACTGAGCTGCGTAGCTCTTTTTACGAAGCAATTTGACTATCACAAATGATAGCTCAACGAAGTGGCTTATCATCACCACGTGGAAATTTATAGCAGCTAAACACTCTGAATACGTATGTTAATTCTAAATGTGGAGGGTAACACCTGAAGTAAAACCCACGACCACCACGAGGAGATATACAGCAAGCTTCAGGGTCAAACCCACGACCTCCTGTATATCAGGCAAGGTAGATAACATCTCCTTGCCACCGTGGCCCCCAGTAGACACAGGTGACCAAGACCTAAGGCCAGATAGTGGGAGAGACTACGTGGGTAGATCTTGGAAGTCACATTGAGATAATTTTGCTGCTTTAAATACCCATGTTGTAAGCCACTGTGTTGAGCTATCATCTATGAGAGCGAGGTCACTTCTAAAAAAATAGTTACATAGCTCAGTGGGCTTTGCCTGGTAGGATAGCGATGGTTTAGTATGGTATTTGTATGTGTCTAGGTGAATTGTTTACCTCTCTTGTACTGTGCACTCCTGTCATGTGTGTGTATTGATTGTTGTTGTAACGTTCTTAACTGCTCCTCATGGAGATATGTGACAAAGACCCTTTATAGCTCGTCGGATTCCTCCTGCAGTCAAAATGCATTTTCTTATTCTGACACGCCGACCATGCAGCAAAATTAACGGGCGAGTTGTGATGCAGCTCTGGGCCACAGTAGCATCTGAAGCTCGACTCGCGGTACACATACAGAACCGTAGACACACTGAGAGTAGGCGAGTGCAGTAGGGAGGAGGAGGAAGAGGAAAAGGAGAGAAAAGAGGACAAACAATCAACAACCTTCCTCATTGGCTCGTAAAGTTGTTCGCGAGTTCGGCGGATGAGGAGGAGTCGGATTTAAAGGGAGCATCCAAGGAGGAGGTCTCCACTCACTCCCGGCCACACAGCGCTCAACCTCTCTCCGCACCGAGCACCACCGGGTTCACTGCTCCCCAGGAGTCTCGCTCAGGGCGGTGAGTCGATCACCTAAACGACTATTGGCCATTTTTTATTTTATTTTACATGGTAATGCCCCACCACTTGAGCTATGCAGTAGCTCTTTTTTTTCAGAAGCGACCTGGCTATCACAAATCATAGCTCAACGGAAGTGGAAGCTGATATCATCATCATCATCATATGCTGAAAATGTATAGTGGCAGCCACATACGCTCGACGCGCCGTGATATTTGATTCTAAAATGTGGGAGGGTAAAAAAAAACCTGGAGGAGATCCAGATACAAATTCTACGCGACCACAGGGAGAGAGACGCGCACTCCAAATACACGGCAGGCGTCAGGGTCAGGATCGAACCTACGAATTCCTGCATACAAGGCGAGATAGTTAACATCTAGCCACTGCGGCGTCAGGGTCGGGATTGAACCCACGACCTCCTGCATGCCAGACGAGGTAGTTATCATCTCCTCCTGGCCACCGTGGTGTCAGGTTGGGATTGAACCCACGACCTCCTGGATGCCAGGCGAGGACGTTAACATCGCTTTTTTGCTGCTGCATATGAAGGCCTCCGCCCACACCGTGTGGGCCACGAGCGTTGTTATCCATACTACTTTTTTTGGGTTAGATCACGTAAATATAAATGTGTCGTTACAAGATGAAGGCCGCTTGTGTTGTGGCCGAAACGTCGTGAGAATTTTATTGGGTTATTTTATTTTATCAATTTATTATTTTATTCTCATTTTACGTGACTTTACCGAAAGAACCAAAGAAGATGAATCCTTGCAGTCACGAAAGCTTTAAATCGAAATTTAAATCGAAAAAAAAAATGGCTCTTATAATTATGGTTTTTCGAGCCCCTGCAGACCTCAATGTAAGTAAATTCGTAACAAGCTACATCCCCTTTTGTTTATCAATTGCTGGATGAAAGCGTACTTAGGGCGCCACGGTGGCTATGAGATGTTAACTACCTTGCCTGATATACAGGAGGTCGTCGCTTCGATGCCCGGACCCTAAGGCCTTCCATATATTTGGAGTTTGCGTCTCTCTGCCCCCCGTGGTTGCGTTATTTTTTATCCGGGTTCTCCGGTTTTTTACCTCCACATCACGGCGTTTAGAGTATTTTACTGCTTCAAATTTCCACGTGCTAACCCACTTCGTTGAGATATTATTTGTGATGAGCAGGTCACTTCTGAAAAAAAGAGCTATATAGCAGCCATAAAAGAGGTTTTTTTTGGTTAGATAACATTTTTTTAAACGTGTCGTTAAGCCCGCCACCACCCAACACAGCCAACTATTAAGGGTTGTCACGTAAACAGAACATGCCAACTCATTGGTTTTTTTCGGTAAAGTCACGTATGTAGAAATACAATAAAATTATATTAAAACAAAAAACTATCACTACGTTTCGATCACAACGCAAGCGATCTTCATCAGGTGTCAAGAACAAATCACGGAGGTAAATACAACAAAAAGATGAGAGACGAGAATTCAACAAACCTGAAAAAACATTATGTGAAGCACAACCAGTCAGGACAACAACACAGTTAGACACTTCCTGGCGGACCACGAATTTCACGTAATGTTTTTTCAGGTTTGTTGAATTCTCGTCTCTCATCTTTTTGTTGTATTTACCTCCGTGATTTGTTCTTGACACCTGATGAAGATCGCTTGCGTTGTGATCGAAACGTCGTGATTGTTTTTTTGTTTTAATATAATTTTATTGTATTTCTACGTACGTGACTTTACCGAAAAAAAGCAATGAGTAATTTTATGCAGTCACGAAAGCTTTAATACTTTATTAGAACATGGCCAATTCGTCACTAGTACAGCACACCGGTGTGTTGGAGAGCCAAGCCACAACATTTACAATCCGAGTACGACGTTTCGCCAGTAATTACAACTGGCTTCATCAGGCGACAGCCAGATTTGTGGAGAAGTCCACCTGTTTCGTCCCTTATATAGAGGAGGCGTAGATTTGGTGACCACGCTTGTGCACTCTTCTTGCGTAAAGTGGGGGGATTAATGATTAATGCGTGCGCATTATGAGTGCCCATTGATCTTGTCCTTTCTGTCCATTGTGTGTATTAAAATAGCCGTACCAACGGTAATAAGAATTTTACATCTATAGGTTTTTTTGGGTTAGATCGCATAAACACGCGTAGTTAAACCCGACCACAGCCAATCAGTAAAGTTTGTTTTATAAGCAAAAACATGCCAATTAGTTACTAGTTCAGCACACTGGTGTATTGGTGAGTGAATCCACGAAACTTACAATTACAATCATCCTCATCAGACGACAGCAAGATGTGTGGAGAAATCCTCCCTCCTGTTTCGGTCGCCTCACGTAAAATGTGATTTCGTCACTCGTGAGCCAATCAGAGTCTGGATTGCGTCAGTCACAAGGGGTTGCTTGGACCACACTCTACCGCGTCGGTCAGTGCGGATTACGAGGCCGCTGCGCGTGTCTCTACTCCTGTGCAGCAGCCGATTGGATCTTCCATTTAAAACGTTGGCAGCACGCGCTGTGTGGTGGCGTCACTGGATTCGATGGCATCAACGGATTTTCAGAAGCAAAACCTCGCCACCACAAATGATAGCTAAACGAACTGGCGTATCATCATCACGTGATAATTTATGGCAGTCACATATTGTAACACGCATGTTTCTAAATGTGGAGGGGAAAATCAGAGGACCCAGAGAAAAATCTACGTAACCAAAAGTATAGACATGCAAACTTCATGTACAGGTGTCAGGGTCGAGATTGAACCCACGACATCCTATATACCAGGCGAGGTAGTTAATATCTCACCATTGAACCCCAATGAAAAGATAATCTATTTTTTATTTTACCAAGTAAGGTCCACGGAGCTGCTGTATAGCTCTTTTTCAGAAATGTATAACAGCAGTCAAATACTCTGGAAGCCGTGATGTTGATTCTTAATGTGGACGGGAAAAACTGGAGGACCCAGAGAAAAATCCACGCGACCACGGGAGAGAGAGAGAGACATGCAAACTTCAAATACACAGGCGTCTGGGTCGGCATCGAACACATGCCCTCCTGTATACCAGGCGAGGTAGTTAGCATAGCTTATAAACGTGATAACCTCCACCACCCAACCGTTCATGAGTGGATTCAGTCTGCGAAGGCAGACAATGTGATTATAAACGCGTTTCACGGATTTCTGCAGTGTCTAAATGAGGCTGTGCGATTGATGCACAGTGCTCAATCTTTGGTTCTATTGGGTAAAGTCACGTAGGTGAAAATAAAATAACAAAAAATCACGACGTTTCGTTTATTTTCACCTACGTGACTTTACCCAATAGAACCAAAGAGTATGGATCCTAGCAGTCACGAAAGCTTTAAATCTAGAAGTGCTCAATCTCCCCGTTCGCCCCACCTCAGGTCGAAGAAGAAGAGACACAGGGGCATAGCCACGTCCAGATGGCGCACACAAGGCCGGTGACCGACTTGGTGGTGTACAAAGGCAAGACTGTGGAAGCAATCCTGGCTGGAATGAGCACAAGCATCAAAGTGGCCATCGAGATCAGCAACAAGTCGAAATACACCCTGCACAAACAATCGTGAGCATAACCCTATCGCTCGGACACTACTTACGTACACTGCTTTGTGTATCTTAGTTTGTCGTCCTTCCCCCCACACCTCTGACGGTTGGCTACGTATGGTGTGGAAAATGTTCAACGTGCATACGACTAGCTCACACATACTTACGTAAACGCAATCAGTTTTTTTGTTCCAGGTAAGAATAGGCATCACAGCAATATTTTCATCTCAACATAGCGTCCCCGTCCCATGTAAAAATTCTTCACCCAGCCTTGTATGCATGTATGTTGAACCTATTTCTCACCGTGCTAATCGGAGGTGCGGGGGAAGGACAAACTATGGGTATCTCTGTGAGTTTATGGGTCTCTGTGTGAGGCTTGGTAGAACTTTTGTCACACCGTTTGTATCAAACCGTAGGTGCTGGCTAACAGCGATTGTTAGCCGGTAGGGGTGGCTTAAGAGGTCATAGTGGTGAGCTGCCACCGCTGAGGTTCTGGATTCAAATTCAATGTTCAGCCACCTTTGATTAAACTGGGCTTGTCCTTTGTAGTGAGCCGATGCGTCCAGCCTAGTGACTAATGACTGCACGCAGCAACATCAACAAAAAACAATACATCAAATTTCAGTCTGAACTTCATTTGGCTAAATTCCAGCTGCTATAATTACATTGGCTGGTGTGGCTGTCATGTGACAACGACATTTTTCTGTGGCAGGACGGGTCAGAAAGTACTACCCCACGACATTGTAGACCAGTTGGTCACGTGAAGGACCCGAGGTAGTGCTGTGATATACGCTTCTTTAGGCACATTAAAACAAACACACACACTTCTGTGCGATGACATCACCCGCATCCCTCAGTGACCTGTGCCGGGCGCATGCATCGTGCTAAATGTCACGCCCTACCCACCCTATGCGGTCGCCACGGTGGTTAGGAGATGTTAACTACCTCGCTTTGTGGGCAGGAGGTCGTTGGTTCAATCCTGACCCTAACACCCCGGTGGCTAGGAGATGTTAACTACCTCGCCTAGTATGGAGAAGTTCGTGGGTTCAATTCCGACCCTGACGCTTGTATATTTTGAGTTTGCATGTTTCTCTCTCTCTCTCCGTTTTCACGTGGATTTTCTCCAGATCCTCCGGTTTTTCCCTCCACATTTACTATCAACATGCGTTTCGAGTGATTGGCTGCTATACCTGTAGCTCAGGGCCTTACCTGGTAAAGTAAAAACAAGTTGAGTTTCGTTTAAAGTGAAATGGAGGAGAGAAGGGAGGGATGGATGAAGGAGGTAAGAGGTGGGAGATAGAGGAAGGAGGAAAATAAATCCTTCCGTTTCCATCTTAATTAGAGAGACAAATGTGATGTTATCACGTAAGACAATCGGGGCGAGACGTCGTACTCGAATTGTAATGCCGTGGTGAGTTCACTCTCCAACACACCGGTTAGTGCTCAACTAGTAACTAATTGACATGTTTTGTTTAAGTGACAAACCTTACTAATTGGCTGTGTTGGGTGTTGGTGGGTTTAATGACACAATTATATTTATGTGATCAAACCCAGTTAACCCTCTTATGGCTAATATTGGTCGCAAAAGCCTACTACTACTACGTGTTAGACTGATGGAGGAAGAGAGGGAGAGGATTGGAGAGGAGATGCACGGGCCAGGGAGAGAGAGGGCGTCAAATGGAGAGGAAAGATGAGAGAGATGGAAAGTGACACGCAGTGGGAGGGAGAATTAGGAAGAGGCGAGAGAGATCAAGACGGGGAGAGGTGGGAATAAGGAAAATGATGGGGTGATAGGTGACAGATACAGAGCGAGATGGGGGGGTGAGATAGAGTGGAGGGAGAAGAGGAATAGAGGGAGGGAGAGGTAGAAGAGGGATAGAAGAAGCGACAAAACGAGATTGAGATAATCGGGACGTACAGCACAGAGAAGGTGAGAGAAATGTGGAGAGAAGAGACAGGGCTTCATGTAAGATTACAAGTTTTGTTGGCTGAGAGGGACAGATGGATGGTCATGTGCAAAGGACTTGCGGTTAGCCAGTACTACTTAAAGTGGTTTAAAATACAATTTTCTTCATCTGATTAAAACACTACAATAATATTAACAATCTGTTATGGTGGGTTTCCAATTTTGGCGTCACTACTCAAAGGGAGTCCACCAGGGCGCATTCGAGCATGGGTGTTAGACTGCAACTTTGCCGGTAATGAGGCAACAGACTAGGGCCGAGGCAGTACAAAGGGTCTGAACAATGTATTCAGGTTTAGCCAGGTTAAAGGGGGGATGGGGTAGTAATGGTCACTGCCACATCAAAGAGAGGCACCATGCCTTGCCTACACTATTGCACAAACACACTTAACCCCTGCGCAATCCCGTCAGTCACCACTGAGAACAGCATGGTGCTATTTGCCAGGTAGGTATGACATACCCACACCTCGTCTAGGTACTTCACGTTCTCGCCTGGGTCGCGCACAGGTGCCAAACAGTGGCATGCTCATGCCCCCCCCCCCCCCCCCCCCCCAGCCATTCACTATGGCAAACCCCCTTCGTCCACGGTATACTACAGTGGGCACTCCTGCACGGTCACCCAGTGTACAGCACTCCCACCGTACACTCGGGCAACAGCAGCAACAGCACCAGCAGCAGATGTGCACCACACGGCAGCAGCACTAGCAGCAGGGGTACACCACACAGCAGCACTAGCAGTCTGAAGCAGACGTGGTTGGGCTGAGCAGAAGCGCCTGGTTGCGCCCTCATCTTACTTCTCGGCTCTGTGGCCCGTCTCTTCCACCACGATCCTCCCGTCCTGGCCTGCCATCCTCACGTGGACTCGGCCGCTGGTAAAACAAAGTAGAAAGGCCTTATTACTTTGCCCTAACATTCACCTTACCACGTCCTACCTCGAGAACGCGGGGTTCTACTCACGGCTCTTGTTGCCGCGTTGTTGCCGCCTCCTTGACGCCGCATACGCTGTCGTGCATTGCTGGAGAGGGATTCTTTCCTGTGCTCCCTTCCTCTCGAGCTCTGTTAACAGCCCGGTCTATAATACTTCACTACACAACAGGTGGTCCTACACCTGGACCTGCTCGGGAACTTTCTGAGCCCTTAAATTCGTCACCACCTGCTGTGAATCTGCTCCCCCGACCTAATTTAACTCACCAACACAATACACATCCATTTCACCCATAACAATTCCCCCCCCCCCACCCCCCCTCACATACCTTAGATGTTTCGTGGATTCAGGTGTGGAGGAATACTCCCCACACTCAGAAATCAGCCCCGGGGAGAAGCGAGCCTGTGGCTTCTGTAAGTTCAACATGTCGCTGAAGGGCTGCTACGGGGTCCTGCGCTACTGCATCAAGGACAACAGAAAGTGCCTGGACATAATGTTCAGAAACCCCTACTCGAGCGTTGTGTTCAGCAGAAAGGTGGCCATACAGCTGCAGGACCTCGCCAACGTGTCCGCACCGTCCGACAGGCTCCTGGCCGAGATGTACAACTCGAAGGTGACGGAGGGTATGTTCGACAAGAACGGAGCGGGGGACTCCGACGCCGTGGTGGAGGACAAAAGGGAACTGAACGTCAAGGTGACGGCCAACATGCAGAACAGCGCGGAGTCCATCGTCCGCGTGGAGCTGACGGATATTCCGCGCGCAAAGCAGAGCATTGTAAAGAGCTCTCCAGCCATGAGTGAGTAGGGTTGCGCTTTTACTGGTAGGAACGAAGTTGTAAACTGAGTGTACCAGCCTGCAATAGATTAATGTGTCCGTCCGTCCGTCCGTCCCTTTTCAATACTTTAACGAAGTGAAATCTCGTGCTGTTGGGTGTAATAAAATTGCGCAAAATTCCAATGTTTCTACCAGCCCACCCTGCAGGGACCTGTTAAATCACCATCATCAGATTGACTAAGGCATTTTTCCTTAGAACCTCGGATTAGCACGGTTGGCTATGTACGGTGGGAAAGAAGTTTAACATATATAGATTCACACAGAGACCCATAGACTCACACAAGAGACCCATTGACCCACACAAAAAACCCATAGACTTACAGAGACCTATAGACTAACACAGAGACCCATAGTTTGTTGTCCTTTCCCCGCACCGATTAGCACGGTAGGCTACCTAGCGTTGCCACCTTTGAATTGAACAAAATGTGGATATAGATTACCCATGGCTTTAAATCTTGTATTTTTTTAGTGCTCTGCATTGGGGGTTATATTAAAATATAAATATTACATAAAATGAACGTAATTAAGTGAATTTAATTATACAAAGAATATTGTAAGAACTTACAGGTGTGGTAGAGTGATATTGTATGCCACATTCTATGATTACAACTGGAACAAGCTATGAGGCGCAGCACCTGGCCTGCCTCAGGTGGTAAATCAAATCTGTACATGATGAGTGAATCCCAATCCCATCAGAATAGAATTATTGTGCAGGCCGGAACACCACACGCACTACCTCAAGACATGCTGATTCTTATTAAACATAGGCATAGAGGCGCTATAGCCAAAGATGTGAACTACATCGCCTAATATGTAGGAGGGTGTGGGTTCGATCCCGACCCTGACGCCTGTGTATTTGCAGTTTTTATCTCTCTTTCCCTGTGTTTGCGTGGATTTTTCTCTAGATCATCCGATTTTCCCTCCATTTAGAATCAACATCACGCTTTTCGAGTATTTGGCTGTTATAAGTTTCCACATGATAAGCCACTTCTGTGGCCAGGTCGCTTCTGAATAAGCTATATAGGTAAGTGGGCCTGATCTTGCAAAATAAACGTTTAGTTAGTTTAGTTTTCACACACACACACCTCCGTTGGCTACCTACGGTGCGAAAAATATTCTACACACAATATTGCGTGTGTTATTTGTTTGACACCGAAGGTAGTTGTGTAAATTCCACATTTCTATGCTGGGGGGAGGATGCTTATCCCTGTATCGTGTGTACTTTTTGTATCATCATCATCATCATAATCCCATGCATCTAACTTGTTGTCTCATATAAGCTTTGTGATTATAACAATAAATCAAAGAAGAAATTTACCACCCCGTGTCAATGCACTGTTTGACCATGCTGATGGGCCCAGGAACGGTTCAGATATCACTCGCCATTTATGGACAGTGGTGACCTATAACGAAGTTGCTCGGTGCAAAAATTAAACTTCACAAACTATTTTTTTTATTTACCAGGTAAGGCCCAATGAGACATATCGCTCTTTTTCAGAAGCGACCTAGCTATCACAAATTATAGCTCAATTAAGTGGCAGCTTATCACGTGGACATTTTTAGCAGCCAAATACTCTAATTGCATGTCGATTCTAAATATGGAGGGACAAATCGGAGTACCCAGAGAAAAAGCCACACGACCGCAGGGTGAGAGATCATGCAAACTCCAAATATACAGCAGGCGTCAGGGTCGGGATCGAACCCATGACCTCCTGTATACCCTTCCCTGACCTTCACATATGATTTGTTCTGATACACGTGTAGTGACATAACGCTGACTGTTTTACAGCAGCTGCAAATGTTGTATATATAGGCCTTTTTCCAAAAATTTATATTAAAAAGAATTCTGCCAAAATATGTTTTGTTAATTAATAATCATCGATAAAAAAATAAATAAAACAAAACACCCTCAAACCCGCTACCTCCCACAAGCACCGAGCATCTGGAGGCCGTAAAAGGCCATTAAATAATAAACTCCGGGGCAAAAGGAAGGTTAACGACAATCTGAAAAATCTTCAGATTGTCAAAGGACTGCATGCCATGACCTCCCCGGACGTTTTGGACAGTTCACAAACAAATTTCCAGAGCCATAAAAAAAAAAGACGGACACAGAGCAGAGACAAACCGACATTACAACTGGCGTTTTCTCTAACGGTAAAAGTTTGAAACTCAGCAAAAAGAATAAATCGATGTTATAAACTAGCAGTCTATATTAGTGGATTTATTATTACTTGTTTTATTTCACCCTTACTCAACTCATATATTATTTTGTATTGCATCTTTCTATCTATTGACTTCACCCAGAGAACCAAGGAATGTGAATTCTGGTAGTCAAGAAAGTGAGGGCTTGGTTATATCTCCAGCCTCGGGATATCAAAATATAACTCCAGAATACAACACCGATCCCTGGTGACACAGACTTATAACAAAGCTTGGAAAACCCTCGGAATAATTTCGATTTAAAGCTTTCGTGACTGCAATGATTAATCTTCTTTGGTTCTTTCGGTAAAGTCACGTAGAATGAGAATAAAATAATAAATTGATAAAATAAAATAACACAATAATATTCTCACGACGTTTCGGCCACAACACAAGCGGCCTTCATCAGGTGAAGGGGGCGAGACTGTCTGGTAAGACAGCGCTGGAGTGAGAGAGCCACGTTCAGATCACGGCTTTTAAGCTGTGTGAGAGGAACAAAGAGCCTTGACAAAGGAATTAGCATATAATTTAGCATTGAAATGGCTGAATGATTAGCTTGTGACTGGTCACAGAAATAGCTATGCTTTAACTTTTAACATAGCTATTTCTGTGACCAGTCACAAGCTAATCATTCAGCCATTTCAATGCTAAATTATATGCTAATTCCTTTGTCAAGGCTCTTTGTTCCTCTCACACAGCTTAAAAGCCGTGATCTGAACGTGGCTCTCTCACTCCAGCGCTGTCCTACCAGACAGTCTCGCCCCCTTCACCTGATGAAGGCCGCTTGTGTTGTGGCCGAAACGTCGTGAGAATATTATTGTGTTATTTTATTTTATCAATTTATTATTTTATTCTCATTCTACGTGACTTTACCGAAAGAACCAAAGAAGACCTCGGAATAATGGTGGTAACAACTAGGGGCATGCGAATCTTGGTTAAACATAAACCAAATAATAACCACGAGATTCTAGATTTGAAGCTTTCGTGACTGCAAGGATCCATACTCTGGTTCTATTCGGTAAAGTCACGTAGGTAAAAAAATAACCACGAGATATTTGACCGGGGTAACGCATAAGAGATACAAGAAAATCGGTTAAAACACACAAGAACCAGATAATATGTATTCCATGAAATCAGAGCCTCCCCGGCCACCTTTGTCTTCCAACAATTTGACACAAACACATGGTAGCCATAAAATACATATGAAGGGTGCCTGGCCTCGAGATAACAAACACTATGAAAAGGGGGGTGAGGAATGCAAACAAAAACATAGCCAGTCAAAGGTCAAAAGGGGGGGGGGGGGCAGCCAGGCCGCTGCGGCCACGGGAGGAGAACGGTGACATAGGGCATCTGTTTTTTTTTCGCAAGAGACGCGCAAAGAGGGGAGAGAATTTCACATTCAAGCACGGACACAGATCATGCAAATCAGTCTTGCAAAGGGGCAGGCTCCGGGGCATGGCCTCGAGATCAACCATGGGTGTCGTGTCTCGCGGAGAGAAGGGACAATGTGTTATTAAGAGCTGAGTTCGGGATGAACCGACAGAGTATCGCTGAAAGTTTTATTATACATTCATCCTGATGTTTTGAGTCGCTTGCAGAATCGAGGATTGCGATAAGCTGTACTGTACTAAGCTATCAGAGTTGTGTAAGAAGTGTGCTAATACAATTTTCAAGTTTTGAGAGTGAGTGATCCAGCCAGCGACGAACAGCACGCAGCAAGAGCCCTCTTGGAAGAAGGGCGGAGAGCACGAAAGTTGAGCAACGACAAGGCGAAGCCCTGAACTAAGGGCGGGTGTCCGAGTGAAGCTGGCAGCTGCACGATAAAGGAGAGAGCACGGAGCAGGGGAAAGAGCCTGACCAGTCGCCCGTGAGCAAGAGTGCCAGCGCCAGCGAGAGCGCCGTGGGTTCGACCCACACACCCACCGACCAGCACCAGCTGGGACCCAAGACAAGAGTGAGGAACGGCGACCAGCGGACGAGCTGCGAGCGCTATCTGACGACGGAATCATCGCGCACCGCCGACGGCGAGCACTGCGCCAACTCAACCAGCAGTGGAGAGAGCTGCAACGCCAAGAGTAAGAGTGTTGGCGCAGACAAGAGCACCGTGTGTTTAATACACACACACACGCCGTCCCAGCGGCCCTGCTGGGAACCCGAGGTATTTTCAGCACAAGGAACGCCGTACCACGTCAGCCGCCAAGTCAACAAGTGGCAAAGAAGGCACACAACACGAATATATCGGGACTAATAAGATTGTTTCAAAAAGTTTTCGTTATGTTTCAAGAAGAGTTGCCATTCCAAGGTGGTGCGTTAAAAATCAACTGATCGTGGAAAGCATTGCTGCCCGTCGAGTTACATGCATGCGATTTTTAGAAGTATTTTAGTCATTCGTTTTCGTTAATTGCATAATCTTGCCAATGAATTAATTGATAACTACTCTTGCTTTAGGAACAGGTTCCTTCATTACTGTTTGTATGAATATTGTTACATTCATTTTTAAGGACTTTTTCCCATCGCCATGTATGCTCGCGTTACTCTGAGGAATTAACCGATTGTTCTGTTACCCAGTTTGACAAACGTGATCATTGAGGGTTAAATGTACGGATCAATGAGGAGAACATCTCCAGGAGTACTGTGTTGACAATTCCAAGCATAAGAGTTCATATATTAGAGTGTTATGTTTTTATATTCTTAGTTCTTTCGGTAAAGTCACGTTAAAGGGAAACAATAAAATAATTAAATATATATAAAACAATAAAAATTCTCACGACGTTTCGACCATAACACAAACGGTCGTCTTCAGGTGTGTCGGTTTGCATAAATTTATTTATTTTTAAACGGTGTATTTATTTATTTATAAAAAACCGTTAGCGCCACGCGCAGCGATTTGGCAGTTTATTTAGAAGGACTAGTCCATCTATATTCTGAAAAGAGGAGGGGGGAGACGAATTTTTTTTTTAATGTATGCTGTCTGAAAGCCACTGTAAGCGTGAACAATCAATTAAGACCTGAAATGGTTTATCAAATCTTTCCAATGATTGCTAAGACAGAATCCATCTTCTCGGTTGAAATTGTCTCTGTGCTTGTATATGTGGATAGCCTCATGAACGAATCTCTCATGGTAGCCAGATGGCTTACAAAGAACCTCTGTCTTGGAAAAGTCAATGTCATGTGAGCCTACTGAATTATAACAATGATCTGCCACGGCCGAGGTGTTGGTCCTACCGTGTTTAAGGTCTGCTTTGTGTTCACGAATGCGGTCCGAGACATGGCGTTTGGTTTCTCCAATGTAACTGCTACCACAGAGGCAACTTCGTTTGTAGACACCAGGGTATTGTATGTCCGGAATCACATCTTTTACAGACGGAACCAGATCACGGTTTTTATGTAATGTGTTGAAATGGACCTGGATCTTGTGTTTATTCAAGATTTTGGAGATCTTTTTTGTGATCCCCGCAATGTAGGGTAAAGTGATGGTTTTGAAAGGCTCCTTAAGAGGGTCCTTCTTCATGGTTTGAGTGATAGCTTTGCGGATTGTATAGTCGGAGTAACCATTAGCCTTAAGAGCTTGGTGTACGTGCTTGAGTTCATATATATTTTATTATTTTATTGTTTCCCTTCAACGTGACTTTACCGAAAGAACTAAGAATATGAATTACTGCAGTCACGAAAGCTTTAAATCAAAATTTGTTATGTTTTTGTTTAGAAATTCAAGTTGCTTAACACAGAAGTGTCTGAGTGGTGCCTTCCTAAGTTAATGCATAATACTCTTAATTATAAGAACTGTATCCTGCGGTGAGATTTGAATTTGGAGACCTGACATAAACACACTAAGACAGTAAAATAATCAGTAAATCTTAATGCGAGAATAATTGTATTATCCCGATTGATAATACAATCCTAGACAACGAAGCCGAGCTTAATCAGCATACTTACTTCATACCATTTATTGTATCATTTATTTATTGTATCATTCCGATTTATAATACGACCCTAGACAACGAGGCAGAGCCTAATTATCATAACGACATGCATTAACATAATTGCATGCATTTGCATAACTTAATACAATCACACCTTCATACTTAGCATAATGTATGCAACATCATTACATAAATTTTGATTTAAAGCTTTCGTGACTGCAGTAATTCATATTCTTAGTTTTTTCGGTAAAGTCACGTTGAAGGGAAACAACAAAATAATAAAATATATATAAAACAATAAAACATTCTCACGACGTTTCGACCATAACTCAAACGGTCATCTTCAGGTGTGTTCGTTTGCATAAATGTATTTTTAAACGGCACATTTATTTATTTATAAAAAAAAAAACGTTGGCGCCACGCGCAACGATTTCACAATTTCTTTAGGACTAGTCCATCTATATTCTGAAAAGAGGAGGGGGGAGACGAAATTTTTTATAATGTATGCTGTCTGAAAGCCACTGTAAGCGTGAACAATCAATTAAGACCTGAAATGGTTTATCAAATCTTTCCAATGATTGCTAAGATAGAATCCATCTTCTCGGTTGAAATTGTCTCTGTGCTTGTATATGTGGATAGCCTCATGAACGAATCTCTCATGGAAGCCAGATGGCTTACAAAGAACCTCTGTCTTGGAAAAGTCAATGGCATGTGAGCCTACTGAATTAGAACAATGATCTGTCACGTCCGAGGTGTTGGTCCTACCGTGTTTAAGGTCTGCTTTGTGTTCACGAATGCAGTCCGAGACATGGCGTTTGGTTTCTCCAATGTAACTACTACCACAGAGGCAACTTAGTTTGTAGACACCAGGGTATTGTATGTCCGGAATCACATCTTTTACAGACGGAACCAGATCACGGATTTTATGTAATGTGTTGAAACGGACCTGAATCTTGTTTACAAAAGACCGGACCCACACACCAAAAAGTTAGACGTTAACAAAGTCGTAATTAATCGCAGTAACAGTTCTGTTTCCGATGGTCTGAAATCCGTTTTAGCTAAAGGTCTAAACTTTGCAGTCACACCTAAACACATACCAGTTAATGATATAATTGCCCAAGTAGACGTTGCTCTCAGGGGCCTGGGTCACATCGCTGCAGACGTAGCAAGATCTGAAATCACTGCAACCCTCAAAAACGCTAAGATGCCAGCTAGCAACCTCAGCAAAGATGAGCGTTTTGAATTATATAAATTAAAAAAGAGGAATGATATTGTAGTCCTCTCAGCTGACAAAGGCAATGCTACTGTCATCATGGATAAAATAGAATACAACAACAAAATTAAAGAATTACTCGACGATGGTAGTTATACAAAAATAAAAAGAGATCCCACCAACAGCCTCGTCACACAAACCAACAAAATAATTTCTGATTCAACCGCATTAATTGATCAATCTAAACAGTTTTCGTTGAAACCTTCTGCTGCCAGGCCACCAAGATTATACGGCTTACCAAAAATACATGAAGTAGATACACCCCTTCGTCCCATATTCTCTACTATCGGCTCCCCCACCTACAAACTAGCTCGTTTTTTGTCTGAAATCCTGCGTCCTTTCACTGGAAAGACCACCTCTGCGGTACAAAATTCTACTCACCTGGTATCGACAATCAAGGGTATTTCCCTGTCCCCAGACGACCTGCTTGTCAGTTTTTATGTAGTTTCCTTATTCACCAAGGTCCCTGTACCTGACACCATTGCAATCATTGAAGACTTGGTTCATCAAGGACTAAACACTGAGGTACCCCCCCTGGTGAGACACTGTTTAACCAATACATACTTCACTTGGAATGGAACTTTCTACAAACAAACTGAGGGCACCCCAATGGGCTCCCCCCTTTCTCCAGTTATAGCTAACATTTTCATGGAGAAATTTGAGACTGACGCCATCCAGACTGCCACTCTGCGCCCAACCTTATGGAAGAGGTACGTGGATGACACTTTTGTCATCTGGCCACATGGCCGGCCTGCTCTAGACCAATTCTTCGACCACATCAATTCCATACACCCAGCCATCAGATTTACCATGGAAGTCGAAATAGATGGCAAGATACCTTTTTTGGATGTCCTAATTAAAAAGAGACCTGATTGTTCAATGAGCCACTCTGTCTACAGGAAAGCTACCCATACGGATGCTTATCTGAAACCGGATTCCCACCACCATCCATCACAGAAGAATTCTCTCATCAAGACTCTGTATCATAGAGCCCAATGCATATCCGACCAGGAACACATAAGCAGTGAACTCAAGCACGTACACCAAGCTCTTAGGGCTAATGGTTACTCCGACTATACAATCCGCAAAGCTATCACTCAAACCATGAAGAAGAACCCTCTTGAGGAGCCTTTCAAAACCATCACTTTACCCTACATTGCGGGGATCACAAAAAAGATCTCCAAAATTTTTAATAAACACAAGATTCAGGTCCGTTTCAACACATTACATAAAATCCGTGATCTGGTTCCGTCTGTAAAAGATGTGATTCCGGACATACAATACCCTGGTGTCTACAAACTAAGTTGCCTCTGTGGTAGTAGTTACATTGGAGAAACCAAACGCCATGTCTCGGACCGCATTCGTGAACACAAAGCAGACCTTAAACACGGTAGGACCAACACCTCGGCCGTGGCAGATCATTGTTCTAATTCAGTAGGCTCACATGCCATTGACTTTTCCAAGACAGAGGTTCTTTGTAAGCCATCTGGCTTCCATGAGAGATTCGTTCATGAGGCTATCCACATATACAAGCACAGAGACAATTTCAACCGAGAAGATGGATTCTATCTTAGCAATCATTGGAAAGATTTGATAAACCATTTCAGGTCTTAATTGATTGTTCACGCTTACAGTGGCTTTCAGACAGCATACATTATAAAAAATTTCGTCTCCCCCCTCCTTCTTTTCAGAATATAGATGGACTAGTCCTAAATAAACTGCTAAATCGTTGCGTGTGGCGCTAATGGTATTTTAAAATAAATAAATAAATGCGCCGTTTAGAAATAAATTTATGCAAACGAACACACCTGAAGATGACCGTTTGAGTTATGGTCGAAACGTCGTGAGAATTTTTTTATTGTTTTATATATATTTTATTATTTTGTTGTTTCCCTTCAACGTGACTTTACCGAAAAAACTAAGAATATCATTACATAAATTAAAATAAATTTGGATAACTACGGATTTTCACGTTTTCATTACATTTGTATTATTTTCATAAATTTTTCAAGACCCGGCATATACAACAAACTGCAGGTGGCCACTTAACGCACACGCCGTTGAGCATATACGCGGGTGTGCCGGCAGGGCAGAGGAACTGGGGCAAGGGTCATGGTAGACCTTGTGTGGAAGCCCCTGGAACCTTCTACAGGGTTCTAGAAGAGAGTCGCAGCTAGGGTTGAGCCAAGCCACGTCGAGGGGATTAAAAACAGTGGAGAGCGACAGCTCTGGGCTGCCGGTTCTGGGAGTGGACTCGTCTCGTTGTCGCCGCCTTCATCGCTGCTGCCTGCGCCCGATCATTGCGCGGCCGGACAGCGGTTGGTTGTCCCGGTCGATGCCGTCGGTGCAACGTGGACAGGGTCGTGTCTGGGCCGGGTCGCGCGGCAGTGTGGCATGAGAGAGGGGTGGGCCGAGTGGGTGACGAGAAACTCCTGAGACTACCTCGTCTCAGACCGAGTGTGTATATGATGCACGCCAGCCGCACACACACACACACAAGCCTCGAGCGAGAAGGAAGAAGAGACCTACGACACTACACACGTGCTAGACTGATATATAAAAAATATATATAAACGTTCTAGCTCATATGGCACTTCTTATTAAGCCATGAAGTCGGGGGATCCAGTCTGATCAAGAGAGCTTAAGTAAAAGTTTTATCCATAATAAAAACAATTTTGGGTTAGATCGCACAAATGTGTAGTTAAACCTGCCACAGCCAATCAGTAAGGGTTTGTCATGTAAACAAAACATGCCAATTAGTTACTAGTTCAGCACTAACGGGTTGTGTGTTGAAGAGTAAACCAGCAACGATATTTACAATTCGAGTACTGTGACATTTCATTGGTGATTACAACAGCAACAACCAGCAGCATCAGGCGATAGCCATAATTGTGAAAAATTCCTCCTGTTTTTAATTTTAAATAGGAGTAATGGTGTTGTCATCATTGCAGGCCTATGGATAATTTTGGTTGTGAAAGCCTTCTATGCATTAAAAAGTGTTAGAGTCGGCGTTCAACAGCAAGATCGCACCGTAGTCTCAACGCTGTCGCAACTGCACTTGCCTTCGTGGATGAATATTATTTTCATTTCCCTCTTTGAGAGAGGAAGTAGAGCACATCCTTCTTTACCGAGCTTGCCCGGGTCTGACAGAGAGGTTTGAGTACACAGTAGATAATCAATTATCCGGTGCGCGATTATCTGGCTTCCAACATTATCCGGCAGTCCTGGGCGAATCTTTTGAAACTAGCAAAACCGCTCCAAAGGCTGTACTAGTCCAGCAATTGGCACCACGTACATGACAAATAAAAGTAGCTGTGCTTGATTTCAGTGTCAAATATTATATAGTGTCTTAATCAATACATACATACAACTTAAACAATCCAAGTATATACATTTTTCATGACTAATAACTAATAAAAATAGTAAATATACAATGTGATCGGCAAAAAGTGCGCGTAATTCCGCAGTCACTGGAGCACTGGCTTAAAGGCTGCATCAGTCCGGCGATCGTCAAACACATGGTTGTTGAAACCGGAGCGTAGTATGTACAGTAGGCTCCTTAAAAGCAATGTGTTTGATTGCGTTCGCGAGAAATATAACTTTTTAACGTAGGATATTTATTTTGTGTCTATTTGTATGTTCATTCATTACAATTTCACATAGTAAACACATTTTAAACAATAAAAAAACATATGCTCAACTCCTAAAAACAATGTTAGTAAAGAATGTGCAAAAATAAGTGTTTTTAAATAATGATGAGTGATTATCTCACCTTTTTGAAAATCCGGCACCCCCTTCCCCACCTAAGCCACGGGAAAATGTAAATTGAAACCCCATTTGTTTAGAAACTGCTTTTTAAGTTTAGTTTGTTGTCCTTCCCCCAAATCGCCGATTAGCATGGTTGGCTATGTACGGTGCGAAAGAAGTTCAATCATACATACTCGATTATACTATAGTAACGCCCATCGCCCTGTAAAACAAAAAAAACTCCACTGGAAACCATCCAGATCTGTTAGGGCCTATTAGGGGTATGGTTCATTGAGTGATCGCTCCCTTCCTACTCTGAAACTGCATCACGTAACGCCTCCGCTTCGCCGTGACCCCAATTGAAGGAGAGGTTAGTAGCCGATTTCCTAACTTGGCACCGTACTAACGAGTGTAGTTCAAAGAATATCGCACTGAGGATGGTCTTATAACAATAAAACTGCGGGAAGAAAATGGTTCGCCCCTTGTAACATGACGACAATTCGTAAATATTCATACCTGTCAACCCATACGTTTTACCCATATTCTTATAGAAGGAAATTGAAGTTTCAGGTCCATACGGCATACAGCCGTTTCAATACGGGAAACATGTTTTTTTGTTTATTTGTGTTTTTCCAATTTGATGGGACTTTGTAGGATAAATGTTGAGATTTACAAGGGCATGGGGTGACCAATGAGGTCTGAATTGGTCTGTAATAAGGTAGGGACTAATAAGGGGTTGACAGGTATGGAAGTTGTCTACAAGACTGGAGTCTGTTTCCTAATCGGGCACCTTGCTAATGAGCATAGTCAAGAGATGATAGCACTCAATTTTGTAAATATAAAACTTTTATATAAACTAAATACGCCAACAACCACCACCACTACCAAGTACGGCTCACTGCGACTCACGCTGTTAGCTCCACCCTCTCCTGTTACAACATGGTTCCGCCCCATTTAACATGGCCAAAAGGTCGTAGGAATTCATCTGTGGAGTCTGCTGGTGTCAGAAATCGTTCATTAATTCTAGCAGCGGTTTTATGAATATCTATGGGACCTTTTTTGCAAGTTTCAAGAATGATTTAAATAAGATAGTGTAAAACTATTATTTTAATAAGAAAGGGTTAAACCCTATTCTTATTTTTCGTCATTTATTATCATGGCAGAAAGATCTCATAGATATAACTGCTCATCCCGAGCTATTGATACTTTCATACGTGCGAAACGACATGAACAACGAACTACTGGGAGCCTCTTTTATTGGCATAGTAACAAAACTAGGTCAAGGCTTCACGCTTGTTTTTGAAGCGCGTCCCTTCCCGAGAACGTCCCCTTCCCTTGTGCTTTGCCCTTTTATATCATTCCCTAAGCAATTCCTGTCCTTCTCCTCTAACGGATCCCAAGCATCGCCTCTGGGTTCCACTTTGTTTCCTGCCTATTCTTGTTCAAAACCTTTTCCTCCAATCACTTCAAAAGGCAATCACTGTGGAGACCTATCTCGGCCTACTTTTGAATAACCGATAGGCTGCACATTGGCTTGAGGTGAGTGTTTGTTAATTTCGATTTTTAGGCTTGCATTGGCTTTGTGCTGTTCCCCTTTTGGCTTTGTTCTCTGGTCTACTAACACTGGTGGTGAGACAAGGCGTAGGCCAATCAGTTTTAAAGACACAGCATATGTAGTGACAGGGTGCCATCTGTTGACCAGGAGGGATAATTACGGATATGGGTGCATTATATAATAGCCAACCATAAGGGGGGAGTAACTGGGCTAAAGGTCAGAGGCGGGGATCAGTCGGGAAGCTCCGGGAACCTGCTCGAAGGTTTTAGAAGGGGGCGTGGCCGGAAGTGGGGCTTGGCCACGCCGAGGAGTATATAAGGGGGACGTAACCGGAGGTTCGGGGCTGTCGTGGGGGTCCGGGTTCTGGCTGCCGTCGCTGTCTTCGCTGTCATCTCTTCTTCATCGTCCGGCCGCACGGCCGATCCGCTGTACGGCTCCCATCGTCGTCGTCACTGTATTAGTCAGCCAGCTATATGGTTAGACGCCGGCGATGGGGCTGTATGAGTGGGTCAGCTATGCGTAGCCCAGTACATATATATGTCGCTCAGTGATTGTGCCTGTGAAGTGTGAGAAATAAACAAGGAGCCCTCTACACGTCGTGTCTCGGAAGTCGCTCACTGCACATATATATCACTGTGTAACAAAAACAGATGATTATTTGGTTCCTGGATAGTAAGTATTATTTCCTCATTGCTTATGCCTCAAAAGTACAGAAACTGGCTATTTTTCCCCACAAACTTTGCTTTTCTGATCAGGACATTGATATTTGAAATTTACCTGTTTTAAATGAAAAAACGTGTGCATTTGTGTCATTCCTTCACGTAAAGTCCTGGTCACAAAAGCAACGTTTGTGGGGAATGTGTAATTTTCTCTACTTTTGAGGCATAAGCAATTAGAAAGTAACACTTAGTACCCATGAACAAAATTCGTGTTACATAGTGAATAATGCTCAAAGCACGTTTGTTTGCATGTTTTTCCCCGAGTAATGTGTGCTTAATGCAAACTTGATGCCTTGCAAAAAGTAATCCATTTGGTGTTAGAACATCTTAATTCAACTCCTGCTTCCTTACCAGAGAAGGGTATACAAATTTTTATTTTTATTTTTAATAATTATTATAGATCTCTCCCGAGGAGGGTTTAATCAGGGAGGTATTTTCGTTTCATGGGATTTAATCTTCATTAGACGCACTTCCTCTTTTCCGGCGTTAAGCTCACGAGTATTGCAGTATTTTTTGAGAATTCAGCTGCTGCGGGTCTCTCTGAGTCGATGGATCTCTGTGTGAGTCTATGTACGTATATATGTTGAATTTCTTTCGCACCGTACGTAGCTAACCGTGCTAATCGGCGGTGCAGTGGTCCTTAGATAGACTCGTGCAGATATGTTATCTACTTCTCCTGGTATTCCGGAGGTCGTGGGTTCGACCTCGACCCTAACGCCACGGTGGGTAGGAGATTTTAACTTCCTTACCTGGGTATTCATGCGGTCGTGCGTTCGATCCTCCGGTTTTTCCCTCCACATTTATAATAAACATCACGGCGTTTAGAGTATTCGGTTACTGCTATACAGTAAGTGTATACATTATAAGCCACTTCGTTGAGCTGTCATTTGTGATAGCCAGGTCGCGTCTGAAAAAGAGCTATACAGCTCAGTGGGGCCTATATTGGTAAAATAAAAATAGTTTAGTTTACTTTTTAAAAGATGTTTACAAGTCTAAGTCACTTAATCTGTGACATTAAAGAGTCGGTGTAGTTCATGGCTAGTTCATTGTGTTGAGGCTATCATACTCTCAAATTATACATGTAGTTTTGGTGATATGTGCCTAACTTCTGACACTGTCACTGTGTGTAACGCTGGGTAGGCGACGTGGATTTTCATGCAATTTTACATACATTTTTTCTTTTTCATGAGAAGAGTATATTAAAATTGTAAATAGTTATTAGTTTGTTGCAAGAATAATATTTTTTTTCCAAAAATATACCTGCGCCGCTTTTAATAAAATCTAAGCGCGCCCCTGTTTTTAGTATTTTGTCTTTTCATTTTGCACATCATACATAATAATAATAATAATAGATAATCTATTTTGTTAATTTGTGTGACAACAGGTTTTTTTTGGACATCGAATAGAAATTGAAATAAAGAAACAGAATCCGCTTTTAATTTTAACGCAGTGCAGTTTCACTTTGATGACTCTTGCTCACACTTCAAGTGAAAATTTTTGACATTAGTGAACGCCTCCCTCTAACGTTCTTATCCCGTGTGCCTACTGGACATCTGTGAAAAATCGGTATAGCTCATCGAATTTCTCAAGTATAAATACATATTCTAATGTTAATTCTGTATTAATCGGTGTTGGATTTCATATATTACAAATAATGAATGGGATATCATTGACATGACTACGAACAATGACGGATCGGCCCATCACGATCTGCAATTGATCAAGTTGAATCAATAATCAATCTTCAGTTTACGTGCCAATGTCTTCATCAATTAAGTGGAAATGAAGGAATGTTTTTTGTGAGTGAGGATGACGACACCTCTGCTAGTATGAGGCTGACGAAAAAATAACGTCGCTTACCCAACCTGAGTGATTAACAAGTTACCTTGGTGTTTCTACTTGCAGCAGCACGCAAAGGTTTGTTCTTCATTTTGTCCATGAAAATGCGACAAAGGACTCCGACACCACGAATCAAATGCATCCGTATTCGCCCATGCATGTATTATCAGGCTATCAGGTGTTAACGTCACTAAAGTGCTATTGGGAACACTTGCCATATTCGCAACGTTATATGCTGGACGAATGCATTACCCACAAAGTGCTTGTCACAAATGAACCACGACACTTTGCTGATCTTGTCAAGGAGCAAAATCCATAGTCACGTGAACTCCGATAATCCTCGCAGCAGCGGCTTTTTGACTTAGCCATCAAACAAAGACAGTCACTGCATTGTGTGCTTTCTGCGGCCATCTGGAAAGCTCTTTCTTACAATATTAGGAAGCCACTGGGACCTATGCACTTTTAAATAGTCTATATTGAAAACTAATGTTTTTAGAACTGCTTGCTGTATTTAGTTTGTTGTCCTTCCCCCGTATGTCTGATGAGTACTGTGTTGGCTACGTGTGGTGGTGGAATAGAGGTTCAACACACACACATACGTATCGTTAAACATATCTTAATTTGCTTAGATAATCCGTGGCTATGTGGTGTTGAGCTAGACCAAAGCCAATCTTTCATCGGCAGCCATTTCCGCATCTCTCCACTGCTTCCGGCTGTGCCATACCGATTTCCATGGTTGGGTGGTGCAAAATAAGTTCAGCACACGTACATATACTTTACAAGAAAAAATAAATTTCCAACCACCATCGCATTTTTTTTCCCTCCAGATGCTATCGGAAACTCGGGTCAAAACCCACGCGCGTGCGGCGGCACCCTGATAACCCTAACGGGCTTCGCCATAGAAGGAAACAAAAGGGTTCACTGAGGTTACCATTCATTCTGAGAATGCTCAAGCCGGTAGTCGTGGAGGGGGTTCGAGCCATAAGGTGAAAGCGCCGAGAGGAAAGAGACCTCGGGCCAGCAAGTTAGCCATGGCCACGTTTTCTTTTTTTTCTGGCCATAATTCGGACACTTGGCAGAACCGGCCCAGAACTGTTGAAAGCATTGCCCCCAAGCTAGAGTGTGTGAGGCATTGCTCTCTTTTCCTTCCCATTATGAGGAAACAACTGGAGCTGTGCACAATTAAATCATCATCTAGATTGAACACTCATTTATTTAGAACTGCTTTTAATATTTAGTTATTTTTTGTCCTCCCCCCCCCCCCCCCACACCTCTGATTGGCATGGTTGGCTACATATGGTGTGGAAAGTAGTTCAACGTACATACATAGATTGACTCACACAAGAGACCCAGAGACTCACACAGAGACCCATAGAATCACACAGAGACCCACAGACTCACACAGAGACCCACAGACTCACACAGAGACCCACAGACTCACACAGAGACCCATAGACTCACCACAGAGACCCATAGACTCACACAGAGATCCATAGACTCACCACAGAGACCCATAGACTCACACAGAGACCCATAGACTCACACAGAGACCCACAGACTCACACAGAGACCCACAGACTCACACAGAGACCCATAGACTCACACAGAGACCCATAGACTCACACAGAGACCCACAGAATCACACAGAGACCCATAGACTCACACAGAGACCCACAGACTCACACAGAGACCCACAGACTCACACAGAGACCCACAGACTCACACAGAGACCCACTAGTAGGTTCCAGAAAGGGGGCGTGGCCGGGGCGGAGCAAGGCCATGCTGGGAGAGGGGCCCTTGTGGGGGACCTAGTGGCTGTTGCTGGAAGTGGGATGCCCGTCGTGCTGCTATAGTCCATCGTCGTCACCATCTCGTCATCGTCACTATTCTCCTCGTCGTCATCTCCGTCTTCACCGTCCCGGGGCGCTGCTAGTTAGACAGCCTACCAAGTGTTCTAACTAAGTAGTGTCGCCAACAATAGACGGTCTTAATAATAATAGTGTGTACTCACAGCCTACCAAGTGTACTAACTAAGCAGTGTCGCCGACAATAGACGGTCTTAATAATAATAGTGTGTACCCACAGCCTACCAAGTGTACTAACTAAGTAGTGTCGCCGATAATAGACGGTCTTAATAATAATAGTGTGTACCCACAGCCTACCAAGTGTTCTAACTAAGTAGTGTCGCCGATAATAGACGGTCTTGATAATAATAGTGTGTACCCACAGCCTACCAAGTGTTCTAACTAAGTTGTGTCGCCGACAATATACGGTCTTAATAATAATAGTGTGTACTCACAGCCTACCAAGTGTACTAACTAAGCAGTGTCGCCGACAATAGACGGTCTTAATAATAATAGTGTGTACCCACAGCCTACCAAGTGTACTAACTAAGTAGTGTGGCCGATAATAGACGGTCTTAATAATAATAGTGTGTACTCACAGCCTACCAAGTGTACTAACTAAGTAGTGTCGCCGATAATAGACGGTCTTAATAATAATAGTGTGTACCCACAGCCTACCAAGTGTTCTAACTAAGTAGTGTTGCCGACAATAGACGGTCTTAATAATAGTGTGTACCCACAGCATACCAAGTGTACTAAGTAGTGTCGCCGACAATATACGATGTTAATAATAATAGTGTGTACCCACAGCCTACCAAGTGTTCTAAGTAGTGTTGCCGATAATAGACGGTCTTAATAATAATAGTGTGTACTCACAGCCTACCAACCGTTCTGACTAAGTAGTGTCGCCGACAATAGACGGTCTTAATAATAATAATGTGCACTCACAGCCTACCTACATGCAAAGGTTGCAAGCTTTTCAGTTGCAACCTTCGCAGGGTGGTCAAAGATGACTGCCTTCAGGTCTTAGAGAGGGGGTAATGAGGATGATCTCCAAGGCATTACTAACTGCAGAACAGAGCTTCACAAAAGTTGATGCATTCGGCAATGAGACAAAACTAACTCCATAACAGAAACAACTGCACAAAGGTTTAAGTGGTAAACAACAAACCATACTAACTATGGGTATATTATTGGATAAATATACCCCACAAGTAACCAAAAAATCTTCATCAAGCTCCAAAAGTTATACAGTCTTCTTCAGGACTACACACTATCTACTGAAATACCTCTGTCATTCATCAAGGAAAATATTCACATAAAGCCATAAATTCCTATTCAGGACTTAACAATCCCAACAAAATACCTTGGACCTTTAAGTACCAATCTTCACACAAAATTACTTCATCCCTTTTCACGGAGCAATTCAATAGACAATACGGGTTCCAAAAACATCCCAAATTGGGACGTTGCTCCTCCTCACAGGCAAGAAGGAGG